AGCTTTGTAACATTGGGCAGGTTATTTAATTTCTCTGAATATACACTGCTTTGTTATTGTATTAAATAACATATTAAATAAATTCATAAGATAATGCCTGGTTTCTGACAGCCAAATAAATGGAAGTTGTTATTGTCATCATTAAATTTACTTTTTATTTATTGATTTTAGAGAGAGAGAAACATCGATTTGTTGTTCTACGTATTTTTGCACTTACTGGTTGATTCTTGTATGTGCCCTGATTGGGGATTGAACACACAACCTTGGTGTATTGGGACAATGTTCTAACCAACTGAGCGACCCATCAGGGTTTCGTTATTAAATTTAGAGCCACAGAGCCCTGGCCGGTGTGGCTCAGTTAGTTAAGCATCATTCCTTGCACCAAAAGGACACTGGTTTGATTCCCAGAGCATATGCAGGAGGTGTGTAGGAGGCAGCCAATTGATGTTTCTCTCTCCCTTCCTCTCTCTAAAATCAATAAAAAACATTAAACATTTTTTTAGAGCCACAGATATTGGAACCTACTTTCTAGCATAAATCCAGAGTAAGAGGAGCAGAATACTACCTTATGTATATACTTTTTATACTTTTAAAAGAGACTTTCAAATCATTGTCATTAGAGACTTATGGCAATCTAGTGAGGTACATAGGACAGGTGAATATACCCATTTTATAGAAGAGGGACAAATTAGTTGAGAAACACAAATAATCTGTAGCAACTAATATTAGAACACAGATCTGGCTTCTAGTTACTCTCTGTGACAATCTATATATATATAAAAGCCTAAGCGACCATCTGACCGTTCGACTGGTAGCTATGATGCGCAATGACCACTAGGGGAAGACAATCAACGCACAAGAATAGAAATGTGGAACAGACTGATGAATGTCAGGGGAGGGGGGAGGAGGGAGGGCAGAAAGAGATTAACCAAAGATCTTAGATGCATACTAGAGGCCCGTGCACCAGTGGGGTTCCTCAGCCTGGCCTGCAGGGATCAGGCCGAAACTGGACCGGTATACAGCTCTATGCACTAATGGGGTCCCTCGGCCTGGCCTGCGGGGATTGGGCTGAAACTGGCAGTCCGACATCCCCAGAGAGGTCCTGGATTGCGAGAGGACGCAGGCCAGGCCGAGGGACCCCACTGGTGTACTAATCTGTGTTCCGGGCCTCTAGTTTATGATAAATACCTTCTACTAAGTTTATATACTACTAGAGGCCCGGTGCACAAGATTCATTCACTGGGGTGGGGAGGTGGTCCTTCAGCCTGGCCTGTGCCCTCTCCCAGTCTGGGACCCCTTGGAGGATGACCATCTTCTGGCTTAGGCCTACTCCCCGGGGGATTGGGCCTAAGTTGGAAATCAGACATCCCTCTGGCAGCCCGGCAGCACTTGGGGGACCCCTCGCTCCTTACCGCCCACTTGCAGTGGAGGCGGGAGAGGCTCCTGCCACTGCCACTGTGCTCTCCAGCTGTGAGTCCAGCTTCTGGCTGAGTGGTGATCCCCCTGTGGGAGCGCACTGACCACCAAAGGGCAGCTCCTGCATTGAGCGTCTGCCCCCTGGTGGTCAGTACACATCATAGAGACCAGTCGTTATGCCATTCAGTCAGTTTGCATATTACACTTTTATTATATGGGATAGCATCTCTAAATGGTTTACCAGTTAGCTTTTGATCCTTAGCATAAAGCAGTATAAATTTTTATCATCTCATGAGTATGCACATTGGCTGGATAGTTGTGGTCCCAGCTGAACTTGGCCATTTTTCTCAACAGTTCACTCCTGCCTATGGTCAGTTGTGGGTTAGCTGAGGGTTGACTTTGCCCATTATGGCTGGGTTCTCTTGCACAGCCTGGGTTCAAAGGGACTGTTTTTACAGTCTCTCACATTGGTCATATCTTCTAATCAGTCTGAATGTTACAGTAAGGTATTCTTTGGGCAAGTCACTATTCTCTGTTAGTTGTTTGTGAATAAAAGAGAAGGGTACACCTTAGACTCACACAATGTTACATGCCAAATTTATTCAAATAAAATAAATACATAAGTGGAAGAGAAGGAAAATGAAGCAAAACTAACCCAGCTCCTTCCTGCAGGGCTTTTTTGATATCCCTGTGGACAATTTGTATGCAGAACCAGCTGTCCTGAAGTGGATAAGGGAGAATATATCTGAGTGGAGGGACTGCACTATTGTCTCACCCGATGCCGGGGGAGCTAAGAGGTATGGTTGAAATTTATATTATTCTCAATGTATTGGGAAAATCTTTCAGATAGTTGTCAGAAAGTGATGTTTTTCTATCCAAGTGGCAGTTTTTAAGTACTTCAGAATGGATGTACTGATAGCTGGGACATAGGCTGGATATAGTTTTATTCCTCTTCCTGGCCTGAAAGTCACTATCTGAAAGATAAGGCAGCAACAGAGGGGCTCTAAATCTGGTATTGTGCCATTACACATTAATAACTTTGCAGTCAGGGCTAGCAACACTGCTAAACCCCTATCAGAAAGGGGAGAAAATTTGGTTTTCTAATGAGTGGCACCTGCTGTTAAACCACATGATAATAATGGGCTAGGAAGCTTTTACATACATACTTCTAACTGCTGTTGTTGGTTAGACCATTTTGATCCTTTGGATTAAGTATTTAGCAGGAAGGAAAATAAAGTGTGGTAATTTTGTTTAAACTCAAGACCTTAACATTTTAAACAAACTGCCAGGAATTGCCATTTGCAGAGCTTTGCAGCTCACATGGTGCCGACTAAGAGCTTTTGATTTCCTTAGTGGGTCACTCATTAGTAATGCATTCAAAAGTGTGACACATGCTTTTCTTGTTGTGGAAATAGAATGAAGAGCTACAAAACACAGATGATTAGGAAAAGCTAATTCAGATCTAAGAGCCATACAAATCTTCAGTGACTGTTTCTTTGCAAGCTCTTTCTTTCAATAACTTCAACAGCACTGATAAGCTGAGAACTTGAGTTCTGTTATTCAGCCAGATGTATGGCTTTGTCAGGCTTATGTAATTGTCAGTTATCATCTGTAATATTAGAGACAGAACCTAAAAAACATCCCCCTAGTAGTAGTTGTCATACTTGTCTTAACTTGTGCATTATTTTCACATCTTGCCATGGGACTTAGAAAATAGTCCCATTTGAAATAATCAAGCAGGAATTTCTTTCCAAAGTGGGTTACAGAAAAACTGCCTTTAATAGATGACTTGTTGCTACATGGTTTGGAGTGGTTATAATTTTCTTTCTTTTTTTTAAGGATAACTTTTTAAAAAATGTTTTTATTGACATCAGAGAAGGAGAGAGAGGGACATTAATAATGAGAGAGAATCATCGATTGGCTGCCTCCTCCATGCCCCACATCGGAGATAGAGCCCACAACCCAGGCATGTGCCTTGACAGGTAATCTAACTGTGACCTCCTGGTTCATAGGTCACTGCTCAACAACTGAGCTACACTGTCCAGGCTATAATTTTCTTCTAGTGATGAATTATATTCAAAGTGAGTCTCTATCACTTCTGTGTTGGCTAGATTTTTGTAGGAGAGAGAGATCCCTGTGTATTTATGACTTGTTCATAGTTCTCCCCTCAAGGGCATAGGGAGTGACTTTTTCTAGCCCTTTATGCTTTATTAATCACTGAGTTTGTTGGCTTTTTTGTATTAACAATTTGGGATACTTGAACTAATTGATCATGCATTTGCCTTGGATCAGTAATCATTCCAAGCAGATTGGTTAGTCATTTTTTAAAATATATTTTTATTGATTTCAGAGAGGAAGGGAGAGGGAAAGTTAGAAACATCAATGACAAGTGAGAACCATTGATTGGCTGCCTCCTGCATGCTCCACACTGGGGTTTGAGCCTACAACTTGGGCATGTGCCCTGACTGGGAATTGAACCATGACTTCCTGGCTCATAGGTCAGTGCTCAACCACCAAGCCATGCCAGCCAGGCCAGATTGGTTAGTATTGAAGTTATGTGCCCACGAAGTAGTAGTAAAATGAACACAGAGTGTGGTTCATTTAGGTCAGCGTACAAGTGTTGCCTAGCTTATCATTTAAACTTTGTGTGTTCTCTATTATATGGTTACAGGTTCTTCCATATCTAGCACAGACTTAGATATGTGACCATCATCACCAGGGAAACAAAACATAATGATCTGGTTGGACTAGTATATTAAAAAAAAAAGCACAGACCTCATCACACATGATAAAAGGATGGCACAGTAGAGGATGGATTACATGTCACTGGGGCAGCATACTGTCATATACACTGAATGGATTTCTGTTTGAGTGAATGATATGGTATTTTGTCACCAGCTCTGTCTTCCATCCCACTTTTTAGTCTGTTTCATATTATCTTGTAATTTTTATTTTATTTTATTTTTTAGTATATTTTTATTGATTTCAGAGAGGAAGGGAGAGGGAGAGAGATATAAACATCAGTGATGAGAGAGAATCATTAATCAGCTACCTCCTGCAGGCCCCCCACTGGGGATCGAGCCTGCAACCCGGGCATGTGCCCCTGACCAGCATCAAATGTATTATCTTGTAATTTTTTTTAAAAAAATTCTATTTTTTTATTTATTGATTAAGGTATTATATATGTGTTCTTCCCCCACCCTGCACCCTCACCCCCACTCATGCCCTCACCCCCCTGGTGTCTGTATCCATTGGTTAGGCTTATATGCATGTATACAAGTCCTTTGATTGATCTCTCCCCCTTACTCCTAACCTCCCCTACCTTCCCTCTGAGGTTTGAGCATCTGATCGATTTTGATTTGGAGATACTTTGGCTGTACATTGAGATGTCCAGTTTGCCTGGTTAATTAATATATGACTTACTTTCTAGCAGTCATTAAAGAGCTCCCAAGCTTGATATCCAGGTATAGTTGACATTGAAAATCTGTGGATCACTGAGGGGAGTGTGATTAGGGGGTGGACACTGGAACAGGCTGAGTACTGCCATTCTCCAGCCAGGTTCAGGTTCCACATCGACATATCAAACTGGGACAGTTTCCATTCTTAGCAATCCACTAAATGAATGTCCCTTAACATTATACTGCTTCTTGGAACTTTGAGGACATTGTCTATCCACTACTGTAACTCAGAATGAATTCACTTAAGTTTGACTGGTACATTTATAAACTATTCTCAGGTTATGGAGGCATCTACACTAATAAAAGAGAAACATGCAAATTGGTGTCACTCCGGTATGCCCACCAGCCAATCAGGATGAGTATGCAAATTAACCCAACAAAGATGGCGGTTAATTTGCATATGCAGGCACGGAGCAAAGACTGAAGGCTCTGGCCAGAATGAAGAGCAAAGACTGAAGACTGAAGAGGCTTGGCTTCTCCACTGTGGCCGCCAGCAGAGAAGCCAAGCCTCGCTGCGGCCAGAGGGGAGAAATCTAGCCTCGAGGCTTGGCTTCTCCACTGCCGCCGGACCAAAGGCCTAAGCCTCGCTGCTGCGGCCAGACCAAAGGCCTGGGTCCCAGGTGCTGGAGGAAAACCGATGCTGGCAGCCAGGGGAAGGAAGGCCTATTGTGCGAATCTTCGTGCAATGGGCTTCTAGTTAATTTATAAAACCCATTTTCTGATGTTAATAAATTAGTTGCTTTCTTCCAGCCCTGAGAACTGTTTGGTTTCAAGGAGTATTCTCCCCCAGAAAACAAGCCTGTTATTTAGTCTACTTATTGATTTAAAAAAAAAATTAAAATACATTTTTATTGATTTCAGAGAGGGAGAGAGAGAGAAATATCAGTGATGAGAATCATTGATTGGCTGCCTCTTGTACAGCTTCTATTGGGGATCAAGCCTGCAATCCGGGCATGTGCCCTGACCAGGAATCAAACCGTGACCTCCTAGTTCATAGGTCAGTGCTCATCCACTGAGCCACACTGGCCAGGCTATTGAATTTTTAATTTTTTTGTTTATTGAATTTAGAAAGAGAAAGAAAAACATACAGTTGCTGTTTCGTTTATTTGTGCATTCATTGCTTTATTCTTCTATGTGCCCTGACTGGGAATTGAACTCATAACATTGGCATACTGGGATGATGCTCTAACCATCTGGGCTGCCTGGCCAGGGCTCGTCCATTTCTTTTGGTCTTACAAGCCATACATAGCCAGGTTTTAACTGCAGATACCCTGTTTTGCAGAGTTACCTCCATTGCAGACCGGTTGAATGTTGACTTTGCCTTGATTCATAAAGAACGAAAGAAGGCCAATGAAGTGGACCGCATGGTGCTGGTAGGAGACGTGAAGGATCGGGTGGCCATTTTCGTGGATGACATGGCTGACACTTATGGCACAATCTGCTTGGATGACATGGCTGACACTTGTGGCACAATCTGCCATGCAGCTGACAAGTGAGTGCTGAGCGGTGGGGCCTGTGGTTAGAAGTAAAAAGCTGATTGCTCTCTGAATGACTTAAGCCTGCTGATTCTTTTTGGAACTGAATGGAGGGATGATAACTAGCTTTGGGAGTTTTTCATCACCCTAGGCTTGAATTTCAATATGTAAAAATTGATGACTATTCCTTTTCCCCCCAGTTTTCCTTAGTTTTTTTTCTCTTGTTATTGTGCTAAATTGTATGTAAAATAAACTTGCCATTTTTAACCATTTTAAGTATACTAGTATATAGCAAGTTAAGGTAGAAATCCACAGGCCAGAGTAGACATATTTATATTTTACTTAAAACAGAAACCCTGGTCTTATCTCTCTCTTTTTGTTTTAGTCTTACCTTTTTAGTGTCCATTTTAGCTGTTACTACCTTTATTCAATACTAGAGGCCCAGTGCACTGGGGGGGTGGGGGGAGGTTTGTCCCTCAGCTCAGCCTGCACCCTCTTCAATCTGGGACCCCTTGAGGGATCTTGGGCTGCTCATTTAGGCCTCGCTCTCACAATTCAGGACTGCTGGCTCCCAACTGCTCACCTGTTAGTCTTCCTGATTGCCCCTAATTGCTTCTGCCTGCCAGCCTGATTGATGCCTAACTGCTCCCCTGCCAGCCCAGTCACCCCTAACTGTCCTCCCCTGCTGGCCTGGTTGCCCCTATCTGCCTTCCCCTACTGGCCTGATCACCCACAACTGCCCTCCCTGCAGGCCATCTTGTGGTGGCCATCTTGTGGCCACATGGTGCGGCCATCTTTGATCACATGGGGTAGCCATCTTGTGTGTTGGAGTGATGGTCAATTTGCATATCTGGTTGTGACTAATTAGCATATCTGGTCATGGCTGATTAGTATATCCCTCTCTTATTATATAGGATTAGTTCTCATCTCTTGCCTGTTCTAAATCGCCTTACCTCTGTTCTCTCTGCTACCAGGCACCAGTCTCTTACCTTCCCAGACAATCTTTCACAATGCCTTCCCACTTGCTAATCTTCCTAAAACTAAGGCTAGATCTCATCACTTCTCAGCTTTGAAAACTTAAGTGGCTCCCCATTATTTACAGTCCAAGTTACTATGGATAGCATTGTCTCTCAAACTTTTTTTTAAATATATTTTATTGATTTTTTACAGAGAGGAAGGGAGAGAGATAGGGAGTTAGAAACATCGATGAGAGAGCAACATCAATTGGCTGCCTCCCGCACATCTCCTACTGGGGATGTGCCCGCAACCCAGATACATGCCCTTGACCAGAATCGAACCTGGGACCCTTTAGTCCGCAGGCCGACGCTCTATCCACTGAGCCAAACCGGTTTCGGCATCAAACTTTTTTTTGATCTATGAGTGTGCTTTGCACATGGCCTGGTGTATAATGGGTGCTACAAAATATTTGTGTGCTCGATTTGGATCCTGGAGTGTACATTCATAAACTTGCTTATGTCTCTTTGTAGTAGTAAGGTAATGCTAATTGCTATAATAGATCAACTCCTGAAATGTTGATGGCTTAATAAGATAAAGTCTTTTTCTCATTCATGGTGTATTCCAATGTGAGTATTCCTCTTTCAGTCATGTGTCACTGCATCTTTAACATGTGCTTTTCAAGATTACCTTGAAAGACATTTTCATTTTGGCCACCCAGAAAGGGAAAAGAGAATGGGAGATTGATTACCCAATTATTATTATTATTATTATTATTATTATTATTATTGTTAGAGAGGGAGGAAGATATAGAGTGGGGAGAGAGAGAGAGAAACATCAATCAGTTGCCTCCCCATACACACCCTGACCAGGGACGGAACCCGAAACCTGGGCATGTGCCCTGACTGGGAAATCAAACCAGCGATCTTTTCCATGCAAGGAACAATGCTCAACCAACTGAGCCACACTGGCCAGGGCCCATGGAAGATTTTTATAAGCTCGGACAAGAAGTGGTGTATATTGTAGCTACCCACATTTTGATAGCCAGAGTTAAGTCACATGGTCATACCTAACTATGCAAGCAAGGCTGGAAAATGTAGTCTAGCTGTGTGTCCAGCAAGAAGAAGTGATGGCTTTTGTTGAGTGTAGCAATCTGTCACAGTCCTTTTATAAGAATCCAGATCTTGAAGTAAGTTCTTAGTACGGTTCTCTCTCCTTTAAAAAAAATTGATATTTAGAAAGAGGAAAGGAGGAAGGAAGGTAGAGAGAGAGAGAAAGAGAGAGACATCCACTTGTTGCCTCCCGCATGCACCTAGATCAGGGATCGAACCGACAACCTAACTATGTGCTCTGACCGGTAATTAAACCTGCTACCTTTTGGTCTATGGAGCGACACACCAACCAGCTGAGCCACACGGGGCAGAGCCAGTTCTCTCTCCTTGATATTGACTGAATGGTAGCTCCGTAAAATCTGATGCATTGAAACCCTAACCCCCGGTGTGAGACCTTTGGGGAGGTATTTAGGTTTGAATGAAGTCATGAGTGTAGGGTCTTTATGATGGGATTGTTGTCCTTATAACAAGAGAACAGAGAGCTTGCTCCCCGCCCCCTTCCCCCTGGTACATGTGGAGGTCAACGATGTCAAAGAGATCATGTGAACACAGCGAGATGGCAGCCACTAATAAGCTAAGAGTACAAGCCTCAGAGGGGGAAAAAAAGGAGAGGCAGCCTCAGAATGAAACCTGTCTTGCTACCACCTTGATCTTAGACTTTTCAGCCCCAAAAACTGTGAGAAATAAAATTCTGTTTAAGCCACCCATCTGTGATATGGCACCCAAGCTGACCAATAATATACACTTCTTCTTAATCAGGTTTTATAGCAGGAGTGGGAAACCTTTTTTTCTGCCAAGGGCCATTTGGATATATAAAACATCATTCACAGGCCATACAAAATTATCAACTTAAGAATTAGCCTGTTATATCTGGTCAAACATTTAATTAACTCACCCCTCATGCCTTGGCAGGGCCAGACCAAATGATTTCCAGGGCGTTATACGGCTTGCAGGCCAGACGTTCCCAACCCTGTTCTATAGTGACAGGTAAGATTAATCAAAATCAACTCTGCTTTTTTCCTGTAGACTTCTTTCAGCTGGAGCCACCAGAGTTTATGCTATCTTGACTCACGGAATCTTTTCTGGCCCCGCCATTTCTCGCATTAACAATGCATGCTTTGAAGCAGTAGTGGTCACCAATACCATACCTCAGGAGGATAAGATGAAGCATTGCTCCAAAATACAGGTGAGGATGAGATTCTTGCAAAACAAAACTCCACTAAGTATTCAGGAGGTGGTAATATGTGTCGAATTACCAGAAGAATTCCTCCTTTCCTCTTAAGGGCTTAGTCTACCATCAGGATCTGTGTTCCTAAAGTAAAACATCACATGCTTTAAAACTCAGATTGCTCGACTCAGAATCTCTAGAAGATGGAGCCTAGAAGTCTACGTTTTAACAGGCTCTTCCAGTGATCATGATACTCAAGTTTGCAAGTCTATGTTTTATAGTATGTGTGTGTGTGTCACTCTTAACTATCGGCCCCTGCAGACATAATGTGAATCCTTCAAACTGATGTCATATTCCTTAGAACTCCAGTATTTCTCAAAGTTGCTCTGGAACCAAACTAAGTTAATTACTTGGGGTTCTTAATATGCAGATTACTTTGCTCCATCCCAGACCTACAAAACCAGAAGTCCTGGGACCACTACTTTAAAGTAATTCCCCAAGTAATTATTAGGCACTCGAGTATGAATGTTGTTGCACTAAGAGAAGGCCTTTGCTTAATTAAAAATATATCCAGTAATCCATTAGCTTTCTGAGATATGTATAATTGGATAGTTGATGTTATTCTTTTTTTTTTAATTAAATCTTTATTGTTCAGATTATTACATTTGTTCCTCTTTTTTCCCCTCATAACTCCCCTCCTCCCAGTTCCCGCCCCACCCTCCGCCCTCACTCCCCACCCACTGTCCTCATCCATAGATGTACGATTTTTGTCCCGTCTCTTCCCGCATCTCCCACACCCCTTTCCCCCGCAAGAATAGTCCATTCCCTTTCTATGTCCCTGATTCTATTATAATCACCAGTTCATTCTGTTCATCAGATTATTTATTCACTTGATTCTTAGATTCACTTGTTGATAGATGCATATTTGTTGCTCATAA